ATAGCCTTCATCATGTTATCTTAGGTGCAAATATCTCATTAAAAAATCTATTGCCTACGACTTTGAAAGCTGACACTTCATACTAGTATGTACTATGAAAAATAGTGAATAAAAAAATTTATAGAGCATTCGAATATGATTTACGATCTATTGCAAATGAGTGACTGTATTATTACAAGGCAGGCATTGCGGGAATATCAACAGAAAAGGATGGGCACAGGAAAACAAATCTTTGTAAACAAAACCGTAACTGCTCACTATTTTAGTCACATTTTGTGAGATTACCTCAGAGTATTATCATCCGTTTAGTAGACATCTTTACATATATAGTTATCTTAAGCAGGCGTAAGTAAACCCTGCAACAGCTATGCATTCACTCGATAATTTTCTAAGTCCGTGTGCCAATAGGCCAGCCGCTTTGTCATTGCTTCAAAATCAATGGGGAAATCCGCATATTCTCCTCTGTCCTTTAAGAGCAGCAGAGGATAACGATCCCTAAAAATGGACAATATGGCGATAGAAGGAACTTATATCAAAGAACGGTTTGTGTACTGTGACAAACAGAGGTCGATGGACGAGTGACAAGAAAGACAAAAGAGGCGAGGGTAGATTACGTCCCAAGTAGCACTATGATTTGCTACTATGCTATAAAAGATGATCTCTTTTTATTCCTCATCTTTTCAATTTCGAGCGAATTCCGCAGCTGATAGGCGTCCAACCATTTGCATTCTAGCGCTTCACAAGGACAGCTAAGTTTCTGTTTCTTTACAATAAAAGAAGTCAAAACCGGGCTGACTATAGTTAGAAAAAAAGAGTCTTTGATGGCATAACATTGACTTTACCCTTAGAATTCGTAGATTTTGTAAATTGCATTAATTTATTCAGAAAAAATGGGGAAAGCCGTTGTTGTAAATATGTAGCCACAATAGTTAATTCTGAGGAATTTTTTGGAAAATTTTGCAAGACTCTCCAGACAAACTTGATGATATTCGTTAAAGCATAAAACAAATGTAAGAAAAGCTGTGGCAAGGCTACCATTTACTTCCTACCTACCTTGTGAATTATCAAAACCTCAAAATATAGAGATGATTCTGACGCCACTGAAGCACTCACGTGTAAGCTTTCCATATGTCTTTTCCCCGTTTTGCCC